GAAACAACAATAACCTCCTCCCAATAACCTAAACAACAACCCGCTCAACAACGCCAATAACCCAAACAACCAAGCTAATCCTATGGATAACCTCACGCAGCAGATTCAAGCTCTCGTTGCCCATATGCAGCAGGCCCCTGTATTGCAGATTAACATGCTAGCTCCTCAAATAAATATACCTGCACAGCAAAGGGAGCTTAATTTAGTCGCCTACCCTGAGTTCTCTAGTGGTGAACAAGATCCCATCACTTGGGTAGAAGATGCGGAGAAAGCCTTTGAGGCCAATCTAGTTCATGACAATCAAAAGATTCTTGTGGTAATTCCAAAACTGAAGGGTGCTGCTGCCACTTGGTGGATCACTATTAAAAACCAACAACAGTAGCAACAATTACCTGCTATCGATCGATGGAATGACGACCAGAACCAAGGACGAAGTTTTCGTCCCACCTTCATCGCCCACTTTCGAACCCCTGCCCTGGAAAGCAAATAGTTCGCCCAACTCACACAGAGAAAACAGTACCCCGGTGAGGACGTCAACATGTATCATGTAGCCATAGAGAAACTTTTACAACGTGTGAAGGCAGGAGGATATCAGTATCCTAACACCGCCAAAGCCCAAATGTTTATTAGCAGGTTAAGACCCGACCTTGCTGCGTCTGTCGCCCTCTTCATGCCTGGAACTCTCGCTGCTGCCTATGAAAGAGCAAAGGCTTTTGAGAATGCCTTTAAGCAAAACCTATTTAACCCCAATGTTTTTCTACTCTTTGCCTTTTACTCCCCCCAATACTTGTCTCTTCTAACGCTAGACCAAAATAAAAATAAGACTAAAGAGGCTATTAATAAGCTAACCAAGGCCATTGATAAGATGATGGCCCAGTATAAGGAGGCCCGGGAATCTCCCAAAAAGAATTGGAATGGCTGGAACAACAGTGGTTCCAGAGGTCCATGTCTTTGTTGCGGACAGAATAGGCACTTCACTAGAGACTGCCCCAACCCCTTTCGAAAAGACAACAATAGGAATATCACCACTGGAGCTAATGCTACTCCCCTCAGCCAAAATACCAATCGACCACCCCCCTCAACGAAACGACGCCTCCAATAATAATAATATTCAGAATATGATACAAACCCTCCTTAATCTTGTAGGGGCAAACTCTCAGGGGAATGAGTCACAAGCTTTCCTGAACCTTCACGATGAGGATACTTTGTACAATATCAGAGAAGAACGAGAATGACCCATTAGATCAATCTGACTTAAGCGACAAAAAACTATAGAAGATTTGTCCAAGAAATTCATCCTGACCAACAAGAAGCACCGAAAGCTCCCACAACTGGCGAGTTGGCAAAAAAGAAGGATACTAAGCCAACGGTCACCTGTAGAAAGAAAATTGAAGATGAACCCACAGATTTCTGCTCTTGTTTCTTTCTACTCCATTGTTGCCAATATCAGGAACAAACCTGCAAATATCACCATCGGTCAGTTGTTGAAGGCTGTCTCCTCAATACGTACTGAGCTATCTAAAGGCTTCCAGAAAAAGAAGAAGGCCACTAAAAGAAAAGGTCGGGCGTTTGCTAATCTCCACCCTATTGCGAAAGCCATAGCTCTGTACTGTGATGCGTCTGTCAAAGGGAAAGTTATCTCCCTTATTATTGATAGTGGGTCTTCAGGTAGTATAGTCTCTACTTACTTTTTCCAGGACATTGGTATTAAGGTAGAGAGACCCTCTACCATCAACATGATCAACATCTACAGACAAAGCAAAAGGGCTATTGGTGAGATTTTTGATTTTCTCTTCATAGTGGGAGGAGTGAGAATTTCTGTTAATGTTGTAGTCACTGATGCCCAGTCCTACCAAGCCATTGTAAGGAACAACTGGCTTTTAAAGGTCAGTACCAAGATCGATTATACTCGATCCGACATGATCTTCATATAGGAAGGCAAGGAGATTGCCATGCCTGTAGAGTTTTGCAAATTACAGCACACACCACTTCAAGAAGAACGGTCTCCCTGAACAACAAAGCTGCAAGAGAATGATGAAGAATCGGAGTCAGAAGATGAAGAGACAGAAAGCGAGTACAAAGAGGAGGAGTTAAAGGATCAGCTTTTCGGTTATTCTGAGGAAGATGATGTTTCGTTCTCCGTCGCCTCATTGGAGGAAGATTGGTGGGACATGGATGGTGAAGGATCTGAAAGCAGTAATGTTTGTTTGAAGGATGGGATAAATGAGATTTATAATTTTTATTTCGATAACATTGAGGAAGTTGCACCGGAGATTGACATCAGGGAACTTGAAGAGAAAGACCAAGATCAGTTGTATGAGCTGCTCAGTAATAATGATGACCTCTTCGCTTGGACGACTCAGGATCTAGGCCGAACTAGCCTAGTTACCTATAGTGTTCACACCAGTGATTCAGTTCTGATCAAGCAAAGGGCATACCGTACAACTCCAAGGAGAAAGAATTTCTTGAAGAGGAAATTAATAGAATGCTTGAAGAGAATATCATCTAGCCCTCTGTTAGCTCTGGGCCTCCCCGATCGTCCCGGTCAAACAAAAGGATAAGACCTGTTTTTGCATTGATTATCGTCACCTCAACTCTGTTACAAAGAAGGATAGTTATCCTTTACCTCGCATCGATGAACTCCTTGATACACTCAAACATTCTTCTTGGTACATCTCGTTAGATTTTGCTAGTGGTTACTGGCAGATCGAAATGAAGCCGAAGGACAGAGAGAAAACTGCTTTTATTTTCCAATTTGGCACCTTCGAGTTCAATGTTATGCCGTTTGGCCTCACCAACGCTCCAGCCACATTTCAAAGGCTCATGGACGCTATTTTTAAGGCGTAAACAGTAAATTTATCATCATATATCTTGACGACATCAATGTTTTCTCCCTGATATTCAACAATCACCTCCGACATTTAAGGGAAGTTTTCAAGCATCTTAGAAAGGCAGGCCTACGACTCAGCCCCAGAAAATGTCACTTCGCCAAGAAGGAGCTTAAATTTCTTGGCTACGTTATTGGGTCCGAGGGGATTTCTACCGACCCAAAGAAAGTAAAGACTGTCCAGAATTTTCTAGTACCCAAGACCCTTCGACAGCTATGTGGGTTTCTTGGTCTAGCCTCTTATTACCAGAAGTTTATCCTGAATTTCTCCAAGATAGCCGCTTCTTTGAATTTACTCCTGAAGAAGGATTCCAAGTATATATAGACTAACAAGCAGCACGAAGCCTTCAGGGTGTTGAAAGAGAAACTCATCTCTGCTCCTATTCTGGCATACCCCGACTTTGCGAGAGAATTCTTTCTTTTCACCAATGCTTCTGGGATAGCCCTCGGAGCTATACTCTCCCAAAGAGACGATCAATGAAGGGAGAAGATCATCTGTTATGCCAGCAGAACTATGATGACCGCTGAGCGAAACTACTCTGTTACCGAACAGGAGTGTTTGGCCGTCATCTGGTCTATTTCTTACTTTTGCCAGTATCTCCACAGATCCCGTTTTACTTTGATTACCAACCATTCTGCTCTCAAGTTCTTGTTAAGCCACAAGCTCCCCCAGGGTCGACTTGCGTGTTGGATCTTAGCCTTACAAGAGTACACCTTTACCATTGTACATCATTCCAGAAGGCAGCATTCAAATACTGATAGTCTTTCTCATATTTCTGAACTCACATCACTTTTAAATCTCTTCTATTTTTGACTATCCTTTCTTAACACCGTTATTTTTCTCTTTTTATATCTTTACTATTTATTCTTCTATCTATTTTGCTAATTCTTATCATCCCTTTCAAACGATACTATGGAACCAGAACTCTATCGAAAATTTGTTCGCTATATTAGCGACCCAACTTATAAAGACGAACTCGAACCCTTACATCAAAAACAATTAAAACACCAAACTAGACATTTTACTATAATCAATAATCTATTATACAAAAAAACATAGAAGACAACCTCACCGACTCTTACGAGTGTTACTACCCCACCAAACTGATGCTGTACTTTTTAGCATGCATTCAGACCCTCTTTCCGGACACTTCAACTATTTCTCCACTCTTTAGCGCATCTCTCTTAGATACTTTTGGCCCCAAATAGAAGAAGCAGTTAAAGCCTATGTCAAGACCTGTGACGCTTGTCAACGATAAGAAAGACCCCGTACTCGTGAGCCCCTTTACCCTATTAAAGTAGGACAGCCCTTCGATAGAGTTGGCATCGATATTATCGGCCCTCTACCGCTAACAACAAGAGGCAATAGGCATATTGTTGTGGCTACCGAATACCTTACTAAGTGGCTGGAAGCTCATACTATTCCTGATGCTACTGCCTCATCCGTCACCTCGTTCTTCATAGATGATATTCTTTGCTATCATGGTAGTTCCCAAGAGCTTCTATCAGATTAGAGAAAACATTTTGATAATCAACTAATCGAGGCTATATGTCGCCAGTTGACAGTTCATCACCACTACTCGTCCACTTATCATCCCCAACCAATGGTCTGGTTGAGCATTTCAATAGGATGCTTTGTAAAGTCCTGTCCAAATGTTCTATCCAGTTCTCTGAAGAATGAGACAGATATGTCTCCCCAGCGCTTTTCGTGTACCGAACAACTAAACATTCGACTACTCGCTACGAGCCGTTTTTTCTTATGTATGGTCAGGAAGCGGTTTTGCCAGGAGAAGTCGACGAGTTAACTCTGAAAATCCCACCTTCCACTGAAGCCGAATTACAAGAGAATCTCTTTAGACGAATTGAATTGTTACTAGGAGATGTTCAGGAGGCTGTTCTTAATGCCCAACAACGAATTTCCAAGGCCCAACAAAGACAGAAAGACCATCATGATCATCAACATACTATCGAGAATTATCACATAGGTAACCAGGTCTTGGTGTATAGGTCCTTGTTAGATAGAACCCAAAAAGGCAAGCTTGAGGAAAAATGGACTAGCCCTTTTTATATACACGATGTTTTTCAAGGAGCTTATAAACTCCGTACTTTCGATGATAGAGTTCTAAAAAAGAAGGTCCATGGGAATCAATTAAAGGCTTATCACCCGAGGGTTAAGTAAGTGTCTCTAGTCCCCCTCGCAGGAGCTCAAGTTTAAAAAGGGGAGTCTGTTATCTTTAAAATTTTTGATCTTATCAGTTGATCGCATTATTTTTTCTGCTGTCGATATCTTTTTTTTCTTAGTATATCATTATTATTATTATTATTATTATTATTATTATTTTATCATTCTATTTTCATTATAGCTATATTCCGATTATTGTTATTCCATAAATAATTAGTTATCTTATATATATATATTTTTTGATCATATCATGATTAAGATCGTTGTAAACTGAGAAAATATTTACCAGTTTCAGCATCATGATTGATAGATCTATGCCTTTTCTTTTTAGTATACGATTGACCAATTATCATTACTTTCTATTATAGTATGTGTATTTAGTGGGGTTTGTTGGATGAAGAGGACAGAAGTATTGCCGTTGCTCGAGTATAGGATATACGAAAGAGAGAAATTGTGTAATTTCCTCAATGACTTGGTATTGTTCGCGTATTGTTATTATTGAGTTGGTTATCGTAGGTAGTAAAAAGGAAAGATGTCCCATATAACAGTTTAATGCTGCGAGAATCTCCACATGTATTTAAACACATCATTTTTGCTCTAATAAAGTTTTCTCAGACTTCGATCTATTTAAAAAAAATACTAATAAATATAAGTTAGTAGGCATTTCAAAGCTGAAGGCAACTTATATGCAGTTATCGAATTCTCACACTTATCTTATTATTAAAAACCTGTTTATTGTATTGTTTCGTCTAACTGATTGTAACGTTGTTAAATTGATTACCGCGTTATTGCATTACTCTTAAAATAATCATTGATCCTATTAATTATTACTGATCTCATGATCTTATCACATCACTTAAAATAACAATTAATTATTTATTATTATCTATATCCCAAATCTTGATTATATCCCCATCCCATCCCTTCTTAAATATAAGCGCTCAATTCTCATATCATCCATCTTCCAGTTTACTACACTAAGCTAAACTCGGCCCCGTTACATTTCTACGCTTTCCCAAATTCGTAGTAACAGCGTATTTTATAACAATTGTAAAAAAATATAAAAGAAAATTAATAAAAAAGTGACAAATTATTTTTAATAAAATTTTTAATTTTAAATTAAAATTTTTTAATAACTATTTAATCAAACTTGATAAAAATTTTTTTATTTTAATCTTAGAATTATATAGAAGAAAATTTTAAGTAATATAGCAGGTTTAAAATACAAGTATAATCTATAATTAATTTTTATTAAAAATACAAATAAACAAAAATAATTTTAATTAATATTAGAGTTAGAGTTAGAAGTTAAAATTAGTATGGTGCTGGAAGCCTATACTCAACAGTTACACTTCATGTAACTGTTGAGTATAGACTTCCAGCACCATAAAAGATATAATTTATAGTAAAGTTATGTAAGAAATTTTTTTTTAGAACCCAAAAGATAGTTTTATAATTAAATATTTAAGATATTACTAATTTTTATTTTTTTTATTTTTGTTATACAAAAAATGATCTACATACTGTATTTAATTTTATATTTTGATTAACTTTTTATATTAACTATATGATATTTTGTTAATTATTCATATTTGTAAAAATACAAACCGATTTTTATAATTATTTTACAATAGAAATATTATTAAAATTTTATTTATAGAATAATAAACAGTATTTATTTTTCATATGTGCAAAAATATACACATGTGTGTGAATTTAATCAAAATTTTAAATAAAGCAATTTGATTAGATTTACACGTATGCGTACACTTTTGTGCATATGAAAAATAAACACTGATAATAAATATAGCAATATAATATTTTTAAAATACTTTATTAACAAATAACTAAAAAATTTATTAAAGCTAATTATTTTAAAAATTGTTAATATTTAGAATAAAAACAATTAAAATATGTTAATAATAATTAAGCTTTAATAATATTTTGAGAAAATTCTTTCAAATTACTTGATTCGATTTTAGTATTTAAACTAATAATCTAAGAAGAATTAATAACCCAAGTTAAATAAAAATTCTAATCTTTTATTCTTTTATTTAAGCTTTTTAAATTATATTCTAATTGTATCTTTAATATTAAATTGCTTTTTTATTTGTTAATTATAAAAATTTTAAAAAATTTTATATTCTTTTTTTAGAAAAATATATTAATATATTGTATTAATTTTTTTATTATAAATCATTAACTTTCTTATTAATTAATTTGAGTTTGTTTTATAACTTCTCAATTTATAAAAAAATAATAATATTAAGAATATATAATAGCTTTTCTAAAAATTTTAAAATAAACTTTTCTTATTCTTTAATTAAATATTTTTTTCTAAAGTTATATTGCAAAAGTCTTTATTATAATTAACTCTATCTCTCAATAATTTTTTTTTACTAGAAAGAGATTTTTTTAAAATAAAACTACTTAGATTTCATTTATTTATAATTACTTTAAATACTATTATTATAGTAGTTTAAATAATAATATAATTTATTTAATAAAATAATATTTTACTAAATATTAGAATAAGTTTTTTTATTATAACTAAGAATTTTACTACTGGTCGAAAGTCTGATCACTCCATTTGAGTTTATCTGAATTTTAAACAAAAAAGTATAAAAGTAAATATCTGTAATATAAAAAAATATAAAAAAATAAAATAAAAAAAATTTCTCTCAAATGATATATAAAAAGTAAAGTTTTTTAAAAAATTAGATTTTTCAATTATCTATATTTAAATACATATTTGGTATTATTAAATTTTTGTAGTATTAAAAAAAATTAAATATCTCTTTTGAATAATATAAATTATAATTTAATAATGGGTTTTAAAATTTATTGCACGTGCAATATATTGCACCCCTTCTGTTATATCAAAATTTTTACTATGAAACCATCTTTGAGGTTCTAATAAAAAAAATTCTCCATAAAATTTTGATATAACCTATACCCCTGCCTTATCCCAAATAGTAACCCTAATCCTAACATTAATCAAAATTTATTTTTTGTTTTGGTAAAAATTCTTTTGTTACACAAAATTGATGATCTTCACATAGTTATAATAGGGGTGCAATATATTGCACTATGCAATAAATTATAAATTCCTTTAATAATATAAAAAATTACAAATTTTATTATATAATAAAATATTATTATTATAAAATTATTCTTTTTAACAATATATTAAAATAATTATATATATATAAGTTAAGTTCTAATTAGTGTTAGTTTTCTTAAAATATGACAAAATTTTTCTATAGTACAAGATTAGTATATAACTATTTCTTGTTTGAATAACTAATCTGATTTAAATATATATAATATAATTTCTTTTTAGGGTTAAATGCTGGTTTTTCTAAAGTATAGCAAAATTTTCTATAGTATTAGATTTGATAAATAAATTTCTTTGTAGTAATTAGCAGTTAGTAAACAACTATCTTGCTTAAATATATATAACATGACTCTTAATATATTGAATATAAATAAATTAAATCTCAATTGATATTGATTTTTTTAAAATATAGTAAAATAAATATATATAATATTATTTTTAATCTTTTTTAATATATAT